ATTTAAAGAAAAGCTCTTTTGGATGAAGAAGGTCAGGCCATTCAAGGAACAAAAAAACTCATGTTTAATTCGGGCATTTCATGAGAGCATTACAACGAAACTTGTATTTAAATGCTGCCATTTAATTACAAAACCCTTGATTTTTATACCAGCATATATTATTATAAAAATAGAAAAGCTAAATGAATGATAATTTGTGAAAGAAAACATTTATATTACTTCGAGATAGCTTCATAACTACTTGGAAGTTTCTTTTCGCTGATGTTATTTTGATTAGAATATCATTCTTTAGTAAGTCATGCTTCATTTATGATACGAGCGGTTTCGGCACTTCGAAGGCCGTTTCTTGACACACTGGTGACCAACCACTGTTCTGCAGAAGTCACTTGCAAAGAAGACATTGCTTGGGGGATCATTATACCCTGTATTCAATTGTATGATTCTGCTCAGTGTATGCTTATTAACGTAGTTGATCTCCTGTGAATAGAAAGAAAGATACGATTTTCAGCGTAAATGACATTGGCAGGGAAAAAAGTTAACTAACAAACAAGTGCTCGTTTTTAGAGCTTAGGCAAGCAACAAAGAGCCCACCTCTATTTCAATGCTTTGTTCTTGAAGCGCATTTAAAAACAGAGATCCTGCAGGGATTCTATTTCTTACTACCAACCTGAGATATTCTTTATATAGAATTGCTTTTCTGTGATAGACAAATTGCTCTAAGGAAGCTTGCTTTTTAGAACTGAAAGAACTTTATAACTTTAGATCTAATGCCGGACCACATTTTTAGATTTATGAAAAATATTGGCAGGTAATTTTTCTCTTGAGCTTTGATACATCTTAGCAGAATTGCTTATTGATGTTGCCATGTATGTGGAGGGTTGTCATTTCAAAATTGCAACTCCGATTCCCAAATTATTTGCAAGATGTTGATGCAGTCTCGCTTCCCTTTGGTTGTATGGTATCTTAACTGGTTTTTGGTCTTGATCTTACGGTAAGGACTGTACACTTCCTAGGCTTCTTTGCAACTTCAGAGCAAACAGATGGTGTATTGAAATTGAGGCAAAGAGATAAACACGAAGAATTCTCATATCGAGTGTAGTGTACAGGTGACTTCTTATCTAGGAGTTATCTTATCTTGATTGTCTGTTAGTTGTTATAGTTGGTATACTGCGAAATAAGTGAGACCTAACCTGCGAAATATGTGACAGTGATATAAAATATTTTAAGGATAGCTACAACTTTGCTAGTATTGTCAAAGAGCCAACCTTTTAAATCATCTAAACCTCGATGCATTGATTTAATTCTAACAAATAGAAAATCCAGCCTTAAAAGCACGACAACGTTTTAAACGGGGCATTCTGATTTTCACACAATAATTCTGACAGTCCTTAAAGGCGGCTATATCAAGAAAGGTCTTAGGATAGTTTAATACAGAGACTATACTAAGTTTAGCACGATAACATGATATTGGTAATATTGGTTATTATTATTATTATTATTATTATTATTATTATTATTATTATTATAATTGATCATGATAAATACATCGCTAAAAATTTTTGGAGTTACGTCAAACGCTTTTTTCAAAGTAAGTCATCACTTCTGCCATCATTTTCTGCTACACGGTGCACCGAGTACTTTAGTAATGCTTTTTCTGCCCTTTATCCAAATAAACGATTCACTATTCCTTCTTGGATACCTTCTTTCGATGAACCATCCTATCCATTTGACACACAACCTCCATCATATCAAGTGATAACTTCTATTATACGTCGCATGAAATCCTCCACTTCTCCCTGTCCCCTTGATAAGATATCCATCATTTGTTTCAAACGTTGCCCTTACCTACGATCTTTCCTCACCAAAATTATTCATAGCATTTGGGTATCTGGCAGTGTTCCATCCGAATGGAAAAAAACATCAACGATATTGATCCACAAAAAAGACAATACAGATGATCCTTCTAACTTCAGACCAATAACCTTAGAATCTGTTCCCTTGAAAATCTTCACCTCCTGCCTACGTAACTCTGTTTTCAACTTTCTGAAACAAAATGGTTTCATTGAAAGCCAAATTCAAAAAGGCTTCACTCCCAAGATATCAGGTACTTTAGAACACACGGCACTTATGGGTCATATGATAAATAAAGCTCGCACAAAACAGCGCTCTTTGGTTGTTACCCTGCTTGATCTCAAAAATGCTTTCGGCGAGGTCCACCATAATTTGATTCCCACTATTCTTTCGTACCATCATATACCATCTCATATTCAGGCTCTGGTCTCCAGCTTATATTCGGGCTTCAAGACCTCTATCCTCACAGATACATTCCAAACCCCTGCCATTCCCGTTTGTCGTGGTGTTCTTCAAGGTGACTGCCTCAGCCCTCTTATCTTTAATCTATGCTTTAATACGTATATTCAATACATAAAAGCAGAAAAATATAAACAGCTTGGCTTCTCTCCCCACGACGAAAACGATCGCATGTTCCAGCCAGTGCATTGGTTCCAATTTGCTGATGATGCTGCGGTTGTTACTAGTGGTGAAAAGGAGAACCAACTCCTGTTAAACTGCTTTACAAGATGGTGTCAGTGGGCAAACTTTGTAATAAGGGTTGATAAATGTGTCACCTTTGGCATTAAGAAATACTCAACAAGATCTCTTCAGTTCCAGCCAAAGCTTTTCGTGAACAACCAAAGCGTGCCTGTTGTTAAAAATGGAGAATCTTTCAAATACCTTGGCCGCTTCTTTGACTTCGAAATGACCAATGGCAGTCATAAAGAAAAACTGCTATCAATGTTTCCCAGCCTTCTGAAAGAAATTGATGACTTGCCTCTGCATCCCAAAAATAAACTTCTATTGTACCACAGATATGTATTGTCCAAAGTTTCTTGGCACTTCACTGTTGCAGACCTATCGAAGACCTGGGTCATTGAGAACCTCGATAATCTTGTCTCTAAATACATTCGCCAGTGGCTTGATCTTCCCATAAGTGCTACTTTAACTAGTATAGTTCTTTCTAAAAATCAATTTGGTCTCGATCTTCAGCTACCTTCTGTCAAATTCACTCAATGCCAAACTGTTTCACGCAATGCCCTCCGAACTTCTCCTAACACAAACATTCAAGCTTTATGGAAAAACACCAGTAGTGGGATGAATCTGCAATACGACATTTACCGTAACACCAAAGATGTACTCAAAGCAGTAAAATCAGACAGTAGAGAGCGCTTGGCACACCAATTACTATCCCAGGGTGCTATTATTTCATTTCTGTTGGACCACTCTCTTAAAAAGCTCAATGGTCTTTGGTCTGTTGTGCAGAGCTACCTACCCACGAACATCTTCAACTTCACCATCAAGTACCTGAACAATACTCTCCCTACGCGCAAAAATCTAAGCCTTTGGAACCTAAGCCAATCATCTGATTGCGAATTCTGCCTTCTTCCCGAAACTTTACTTCATGTCGTTGCAGGCTGCAAAGTTTATCTCGAACAAGGTCGTTATACCTGGCGTCATAATTCTGCTCTAAATTTTCTTGCAACCTCCTTGAAAGCAATAGAGGGATCCTCTCTTTTTGCCGATATACCTGGCTTCTCCTCACCATCCATCATAACTGGAGACAATCTGCGCCCAGATCTACTTCTGCGTACAAAGGAAAACATTCTTTATGTTTTGGAACTAACGATAGGATTTGAAACTAACCTTAACTGCAATGCAGAAAGGAAACGTTTAAAATATGCTCGCCTTGTCTCAGATCTAAGACCAAGGTTCAAATCTGTCATATTTGTAAATCTCTCCATCAGCTCTCTTGGCATCTTCAGCGACTCATGCAGCTCATTCCTTGAAATGTGTGACTCTCTTTCCATTGATGATCAACACAAACGATATCTCATTTCTAAGCTTTCTACGATATCCATTCGTACCACCTATTACATTTTTTGCTGTAGGAACAGAACATGGACTAACCCAGAGCTACTCCCCTTTCAACGTTTTTTTTTCTTTACTACGATTGTAATAGTCTTATTTTGTAAAATCAGGCTAGCCAGTTACAAATTACCTTGTAATAGTGAGATTTGTAATTGTAGTTTTAACTGGAATTCAAAATGAAAAGTTTCCATTATTATTATTATTATTATTATTATTATTATTATTATTATTATTATTATTATTATTATTATAATTACAATAATAATTATACGCACATCTTATTACATATTCTGTGTGCGCAATAAGACTTGGAATATCCCTGAACTGCTCTCCTTCTAAAGATACTACGAACTCTTATGATCTTATTTGTGTATTAAAACTTTTGTAAATTAGTAGACTTGTTACCAGGCTAGCCCATAGTAACTACCTGTAAAGTGAGGTTACTGTTTTATGTAGAAGAATATAAAATAAAAATGTTTTCATTATATACTGCTTTTAGTGAGAAGTCGAGAAATTTAGGAACAAAGCAACGAAAATGATAGGCAAAACCACCTATATTTCTTGCACTCGTCTTTGTCATATTTAAAGCAGTCCCAAAGCTTTCTGAATCAATTTTCGCTTAGGCTTTGAGTTGAGAATATCATGACAATTTACCAGAAATCATATTTTTCAGTCAACTGGCTTAGCCAAAAAAATCATCTTGTATCACAGCATAGACAGAAAAAACGCCGAAAGGATTAATGTCGTGCTTAAATCGTTTTCAATCATAACAGTTCCCAAGCAATAAAATCTAAAAAATCTATTCACTCAAAAATCAGTTGAAGATGTTGAATGACAATCGGTTGAAATTGACTGTGATATGGTAAGGACTGTGATCTGAGACGGTCAACAGGCTTTTCCAATTCAAATGCAAATTTGTCTCTGTTCATAAATCATTTTAACATCACACTCCAGGCACAGAATGGCTCCAGACAGCAACTGCCCGTTTGTTGAACAGTTGAAAGTGACAAAAGTTTTTTTTTCTAACAGCTTAAATATGCAGTGACGTCAAAAAAGACTAAGGAAATAGGCAGAACTGATTTGGCGTCCCTGTGTTCATATCTTAAAGGTCAAATAATATTTTTCACAGCTTTCTCGTCCAATGAATGTGGTTCAAAGTCATTAAGTTAAAGCCTGCAGTCTGCAATCAAGAGAGAATTGCCACAAGCAAACCAGACATTCCAAAGTCAGGTGCAATTTGTTGCTATGGACGAGGATAATAGAAAGCGCAAAGGAAAGAGAAACGTCATCTATCAAGAAACGATTCGAGGCGTGATAAAAGCATTTTAAACAGTTGTTTTACAATGTTGTTGTGATCTACGACATCATGCAGCATCACTGAATATAAATAAATCGCGGAAGTTAACAGGTAATTTCCAATACTTGTGATGTATCAAGCGAGGGGGCATGAAAAGACTGGAAAAAGCTAATGGTTTTTACAAAAATACATACTTTCCAAGTAGAAACGAATTTTTTAAAATTTACTTTGATTTCCTTGCAAAAAGGTTACCTTCTTGACCGTTATTAGAGGGAAAATAAGGCATTATTGCACTCCCAAGTGGCCGTTTGGCCGTTGATTAAAGGTGGCCGTTGATTAAAGGTGGCTGTTGTGCGGAGGTTTCCTTATGAGAGTTGACCATGAATTCGGCAGCAACTTTCACTACTGGCCGCAGATCAGGAGTTAGCCGTTGCACACAGGCGAGTGTTATTAGAAGTTTCAGTTTATTTCATGGCTTGATCGATGCTTAGCTCTTGGCACACAAGTTGTGGCCGCAAAAGCCAAAACTTTCGTTGCGTGTTGCATTAATTGAGTCATCTATTGCCTGTTCCTTTCAGCCAAACCTAAAGCTAGTCTGTAGAGATCTCAATTCTAAAAGAGGCGTGACCAGCATCAACAAATTTTCTTGCTGGATTGACGGTAGCAGTCGGTTACACTTCAGACCTTGTTTGCCTCATACAGCGGGGATCTGTTGTTAAGTTCTCGTAGAAGACATAAGCATTACTAGCCGTCACTTTGAATCTTCGTTTCCATAATACAAGTTAGGAATGGTCGAGTTGATCTAGGGACAGTAGCCTCTTCCGTTGCATAATCCCTGATGCTACTATGATGGACCAATGTTCTCATACATTAAATGAAAATTTCTATATCAATTTTGTTAAACAGTTATTACCTCTATCATGTATAAATACTAAAACCAGAATTACCTTTCTAGAAAGAATTCTTTCATACCAGAATCTGTCACCATCTCGCATCCTTGAAATTTGATCCACGAAGATCTTTTCGAATGTTGGGCCTAGCTCAGATCCTGGTACATGATCTTCTGCGATACCTCCAACCCACAAATCAAGGTTGTTTACATCTTTATAAAGTGATTTCAATGATGTTGCTACTTTTCTATTTCTTGTAATTTGCTTGAATGATGTCACCTCTATAATAAAAAAAATGCCATTGAATAAAAGAAAGATAGCTTTATAACTTCTTCTTTTGAAGAAGCATATGCCAAGACCAAGAGAATAACCCTTTACTAGGGAATCCAAGAACAACTAGAATAAAAGTCACGTGCAGCATAGATGGGTATATACAATGCTCTTACTTGGCAATCCTAGAGCTTTTCTGACCGTATTGTAGTCAGGTATCCCCACATCCCTTCCTCTTTGGATGTTAATAGCGGCTAGATCCAGCCCAAGACCATTCTTGGGAAACAGGAAGTTTCGCATCTCATCAACTATCTTAACATCAATTTCTTGGGATGGTCTTTTGACTGCCCCTCTTAATACAGGATCAATACCACCTTCTTCGGTTACTCTTTCAGGCCGAAAAAAGCCTTCGCGCAGTGCAAAATGGCCGTAAGGTGAAATTTTGTTGTTTTTGTCGAAACGGAAAACTGTTCCACTGATCTGTGTATGTCCAAACCTGCAACAAATTTGTCAAGCATTTTTAGTATTATGTACGCTTAAATTTTCATGAGTAAGCTAGCATCTAAACAGAGGATTGCCCCACCCTCAATCGAGCCTGATAGAAAAGTGATCATGACAACATCTAGGTACAGGCAAAGACCGAGAAGCATATTACGTATTGGAGAAGAAAGGGGTATAGGGCAAAATAGTTTTTGGAGACTAAACAAGCTAAAGCTGAGAGCAAGATGATTTTTTATTTTTAAGTATATGTTGAAAATATTTGGGGTTTGATCCCTCTAACACATCACTAAAATTATTCTTTGGGCAAGGAATGAGATATAAACCTACCATCCTTGTTACAGGTATTGAGCGAAACATTAAAACACATCCAGGAAAGCACACATGTATAAAAAAACATCTATATCTTCTCATAGTTCAGTTAGAGCGCATGTATTGCAAAGATATCAATACTGAACTAGTGGGAGGCGGCTAGAAAGTCTCCACATCATCTGTTGAGAGTTTTTACTTAAGAAGGAAGCCATGTCTTAGTCTGCTTTTTTACAGTCCATTAATGTTTCACATCTCTATGGAAGTGCTTCCTCACCTAATCTTGCTTAATTGTGTCCACATTGCCTTGGAGTTTTAGGGGTGGGGGGGGGTGGGGTTGGTAAAATTAGAGCAATCTATCTCATTTTGCACAGTCCCTTTATAAATGAATTATTCTTTTACTATTTAGTCATTGCTTCTGACATACGGAGCTGGAAAAGTGTTCTTACTCTAAATTTAAAACTGCAATATTTCAATTATCGAGCTATTGTAATGCTTAAAATTACCCAAACCTGCCAAAGCTCAAATTGCCCACTTTGGGATGACTAAAGAGAAATGGTACTCTTGTTTGCCAGTTGATCTTTAACAACCTGAATACACAATCGAGAAGCGTAAAATTGCAAACCTGAAGGCAGCATGTGAAAACTCTGTCGCGATGCCACTGTTTACTTTAGGGTTGAACCCTTTGTATTGCGGAAGCTTTCTGCCAATAATGGATGGTGCATATTCCCTTAGAGTGATTGCTTGCATCTCGGCAATTACAATTTTTCTTGCATGTTGGAAGATTTCTTCATCAGATGCCTGTAAAGTATCATCAAAGTAACCGTCAATAAATACAAGATACTTAATAATATGAAAGTAACTGAATATTAACATCAAATTCGATCCGAATACTTATCACACGGTCTTCAAGGTGGCAAATAAGTGTGTATGAAAACTGTACGTACCTAGTTATAGTCTAGCATTTGTTAGCCCAGAAATATTCTTAAATCATTCTTAAGAAGAACGGTTTTTTCCACTGTTTAGTTTCATTCAGTTTCAGTTTCATTAATTATCAATCGGCTCGAAATATAATTTAATACAAATACCTTTCCACTAAACACCAAAACAAGATTACATCAGGCACCGCGGAGCGTTTAGAAAAGTTGGGGGTCTCAAAAAATTGCACATTTTCAAACATACTAACACAATAATTGATATCAGCCTCAACATCTATTCGTATAACGAACTGTGCGCACGCCTGAGGGGTCAGTAAGAATTAAGGATTTCAAACAGTGTTCAATGGTCTAAAAAGCTCAAGGACTAGGAAAGAAAAAGGGAATTTCTAATCACAGGAAACGCTGTGCCATATGTTTGGTGACAGAGGTTACCGCTATTCTTCTTGATTAAGACTTCCTATAGCTAAAACCTCATGCAGTACCTAATCCCTTTCTCGTTATGAGTAATTATGGAGTATTTCGTGGCTTTCATAGCTCAGCCCACTCAAGGCGCACAGAGCTTTTGACAAAATAGCATTTTCGCTTTTTAAGCAAAATATCATTCTCTTGAAAGCTTAGATCAGGTTTACATTTGTCCAGTCTAACTCTCTTTTCAAAATATCGGGAAGGATGATGCAGGAAGCATCTTCCTGGAATCTCAAAACTACTTTTAACTATTCTCTGCATCATTTATGCTCTTGGCTGTTTATGCCGCCTAACCAATTTATATTATCTCTAGATCCGCTGTATGCCTCCTAATCTCTCAAATGATTGATGCTAGTTAGCTTCTAGGTCAACTTACCTTTGGATGTCGCTTCTTGTAAAGTCTTGCTATTCTGTTATGTTCTCTTACAAACAGCGTGTGCAGCGCAAGGAGGGTAGGTGCAACGTTGGCGCGGTTGTCACCTGCGATTCTGAGCCTTGTTGGGTCACGTCCGATGGCGTTTGCATTTGGTAGACCAAAAGTATTTAGCTAAAGATATTCAAACATGATCAGAAGTAATAGTCAGATAAAGCACAAAACAAAAAGAGAGCAAGAATGGAGTCCTGCAAAGGCTCAGATTCAGAAGTGAAAATATCAAACAATGAAATACCAGAGACGATAATGTGTTTGTCTCTATTAAGAATCATAACCGAAGACGGAGAATACACCAAGGTAAGGTTGCCATAGCTCAGCCCACTCAAGGCGCACAGCAGAGGTGGCGCCAGAAATCTTCCGACAGAGGGGTTGGAGCTTCCGACAGGGGGGCTAAAGTGACTAAAATATGCAGTTTTCATACGTTATTTTGTCACATTTGCTCCGACAATATCCGACAATAGCCTAAAATTTCCTCCGATGGGGGGCTAGATGCTTCCGACGGAGGGGCTGTAGCCCCCTAGCCCTCCCCTGGCGCCACCACTGGCGCACAAAGCTAGTTGTAAAAGTAAAAGCGGCTAGGTAGAGTAAAGAGGCTAGAGGCTTACCGGCAGGTTGCCGTTATCCATCTTCATTAGGCCGTCTTTGAGAAGTCTTAGCTTGTTGAGGCGGTTTTTATCCTGGCCGTAAACAGTATTTGCATCGATAACCGCTGATATATCATTAATGTGTTCTCGGGGACATCTGCATTTATCACTGCCAGTGCATCTAGAGGGAGGTACATTGTGAATTATTGACATCATGATGCATTGAATTTCATACCGTAAGACATTGGCAGCAAAAGAAACTGTTTACAACGTTTCTTTCTTCCTTTTGTGTTTCACGTTTTGAAATAAGAGTAAGCTTTTTTGTTGTTCTTAGCATTCTCTACATTTTAATTGAAAGAATCATCTATATACTCTTTGTGACAATGACAAATGTATGAATGTATGATGAATGAAAGTTGATGGCGAGCTGGGCACATTTTAGCAAAACAGAACCTTGAGAAAGATCTTCTGATCTAAACTGTTTAAGGCAAACGAGGTCGAGGGGGACCAAAAATTTGATCAACTAACAAGATCAAAGAGAATAGGGGTGCAAGGGTTTTGCTGGAAATCTACAGGATGGCGCAAGATCGTGATTTGTTGAGAGCCACAGCAGTTCAAAATAAACATTCTACTACTTGATGATGAAGATGGTAAACCTCGCGTCTCTCTTAATGGACTCAGTTACAACTGTTATATAGCTGACATTGTGACAACTTTCAAAGACAAGCTATAAACCTACGTATCGAATCTGGAACGTCTGACAGGGATAGACTTGTTGCCAGTGGAATCAGGGTCAAATATCACATCTCCCTACAACGATAATATTACCGCATTTTTAGAAAATCTTCTACTATTTCTTATTAGAAATAAAACATAAAACCAAGCTGGTGACAAAAATTCTAAGATTGGCAAAACTATCCGATAATTATAGACTTGAAAAATTGTTATGTTTTTGTTTGTAAATAAATTATGATCCTTTTTCGATCAACTAACTAATCAATCCTCCAAACTCGAGGCATTATTTTTGTTTGTTGACTTTGTGTTGCAAACGTTATCATATTTCTCTAGGAAATGTGTGAGGGGGGTGTTAAAGGAACGTAAAATTTAAGGATTAAACAAATCTCAATCAATACAAAAAGCATATTAACAAAAACAAATATCAATAACCAAATTATGAAATTGAAAAAAAAAATATTCAAAATTTGTGGAAAAAGGAAACTTGAAATTTTGAGACTTCTTCAAAGTTTCTTCCAGGGTTGGTTTTTAGGCCACTAGCCGTTCTTCTAAAACCTATAGCGACAATTCCAAATGATCTTGGTAAAGCGACCAGATTACCTTGGGAACTGATATAGGCACTTCCACGTCATTGGGTTTCTTTTGCTGAAAACCTCGTGGTAATTCGGCTGTATGATCTGCGTCGTGGTCCAGGAGCTACAATAAACATATCAATAACATCTGGACTTGAAAAACTGCTGTGTATTTCATCCATATCAACGTATGATAGCACTAATAAGTAGTTTATATTACTAATAGTATGGTAGTCAATGCTGAGAAAAATCATATTGATCCCTTCTCATTCTCTCTGCTCTGTTTATTTTTTCACTCTTTTATTGATTGCTTAGGCCTCATGATTTATTTTGTTTCCGAATAAACTTTGCAAGTTTGGTTCATTCCCTTTTCGGAAATTCTGTCCTGCATCTGTGAGTACCTCCACTTGTGTATTTATAGTACGTAGTACGATTCAATATGTTTGATTTGAAAACTGTGCTATGTACGCAAATACTCATCGTCATTTAGAGGCTGTTCATTGAGCCCTAGATAGATTTCCTAGCTATTGAGGTTCCAGTAAAAAATCTGTAAAAATAAACAGTTGATTTCTGTGTCAAATAAAAAACCTATGGAAAAACTAGTCTATTCTAATAAGCTTATCCCTTAGATGATTTATATCATGGAGGTTGCACATTGGGTGCATAAATGGCAAAAGGTCTAGAATAATAAAGCCTACGATTTCTAAGATATTAAGCACAGTATTTGAAACAAACCAGTTTTGCAAAACATCTATCTTTAAAAGTATTATGACTTCTATCAAATTTTTCCGAACAGTCAAACATTCGAGGTGACAGGAAAAAGTCGAAAAAGTACAATCACATTATGTCTTTCATCGGACATCTCTGGCTTAATTTTATGAGGAATAATTCTTAATTATTCGTATGCATGTAGTTATTAAATTGGGAAACCCTGCTGGTTCCTCACCTGTCCAAAATACACAGATAGATCGCTCTGTCCTCTTCTACTGAATATTTCTCGATTCTAAAAATTAATTAAACACTTTTACCGACCAATAATATATTCAAAATATTAGTAGGACAAGAGATTTTTATTTTAGAATAAATTTGTTGCACATCACATCACTGCTGCAAAAAAGAAACCATACAACCTACACCTTTCATTTTTCCATTCAGTCAAATTTCAGCAAAATGGATAAGAAAGAATTTTGCAGGACGCTAGAACAGGTTGAGAAGCCTAGGCAAGCCCAAGGGGCCCTACCAAACGTTTAAAAAATGGGGCTCCGAAGCTATTTATTTCAGATATGTGGTTAAGTTAAGGGGGGCCTAGGAATTTTTTCCAAGGAACCTTGGATTGCTTGTTGCGCCCCTTTTTAAAAGATGTGAAATAAAAAGTTTAATATTGATTTCATACGTAAAAGTAGATATGCTTTAAAGTCAGGCTTCAACTTTTCCAGCAGAGATTTTTTAGCATTTTCATCCCTTTCAAGATCGCATATTTTATTTCCTGTTCTCTGCTAAACACCCAAAGCTAACATTTAACCATAGAACAGTTTCGGTATTAGAAAACAGTGTATAGAACAATTTGTTTTTCTCCTATAAATGAATGAGGGAAGTTCTCAGGGGTAAATTCACTCACTTGTTTCATGAGTACGTTGCTAACAACACGAGGGTTTGGTCTATTTGAACCGGTTCCATTATTTTCCTTTGGAAAAGGACACGTGCTTCCTGCTTTCTGTTGTGCAGTGCATGATCCAGATAGCTCTGATATTTTATCAGCATAGCCATTGCCAGATAGCCGCAACATATTTTCCCCAACTGCACCATTGAATATTGCTTTCGGGTTGTTTAATCTTCCATCTAGAGACCTGAAGCCAAAATTCAATGAGGTAACATTGGAACTGTTCTTTATTAGCCTTTATAGTAACATAAAACTTCAAACTGTTTGCTCCTTCAGGGTCTACGGCACGAGATTAAAAGTGGGGGGGGGGGGCAAGGCTAGCAAAAGTAGGAGACAAAGGCTTTTCCCCCCTTTTTTGCAGCTTTAAAACTACTTGCCCCCCCTACTAAAGTGGGGGGGGGGCATGACCCCCTCGGCCTCCGGTGGCGTGGACCCTGTCCTTTACATACAAAAACCTTAAAGCCAAATGCAGCGGGCACAGAAAAACCAATATTTTAGGGTAGTTAACTGCCCTCTCCCCAACAGCCCTCTCCCCAACTGCCCTCTCCCCAACTGCCCTCTCTCCAACTGCCCTCTCCCCAACTGCCCTCTCCCTAACTGCCCTCTCCCCAACTGCCCTCTCCCCAACTGGCCCTCTCCCCAACTGCCCTCTCCCCAACTGCCCTCTCCCCAACTGCCCTCTCCCCAACTGCCCTCTCCCCAACTGCCTTTCTAAATCTTAATTGCATCATAACTGTTATTGTTTTTTGAACGGAAAGATAATCGTTCACACGAGCCAAAAACTATATTTCATGGCTCGAATCATTATCAGGTTACGTTTCCATAACAGACCAAAAATCTGTCTTTGACGAACTTGTTTGTTGTGCAGACCATAACTTTATCTTGTTTTTCTAAATCCAGAAAGATAAATGCTAACATTTAGAACTACCTTTTTGTTAAATCTTGGGTTGAGCCAACAGGAAACCGCAGCCGTCCACTAGGGCAACTTTTACCTTGAATTTTTTCTGTAATAACTATAGTCTTTGGGTAATTAGGTACACAGGAAGGAAGCTGATAGCAGTATTTCTTGACATAACGATATCTAGGATTAAAAAAATACGTCAGCTTGCCAATTGAATTTAAGTTTAATTGAATGAAAAAATTAGAAACATAATTGCAAAAATGTTGGTTAGTAAATGAAAGAAGTCGTGCTTTTTGAGCCGGGATGATAATCAAAGATGATGATGATTATAATGATTCTGTTATGGAAATGAGGACCAATAAATGTCATAAATGCTTTCATACCTACCTTGGCAAGAGCACTTTGAGGTGCATTCCATTATTCACATTCTTTATAACAAATTTCCGTTTGTAAGTCGGCCAGTATACGACAAGGGTGTTCTCCTCGCTATGGAAGTAGCAAGTGAAGGTACCACGATTTCTGTAACTTGGCGATGGTCGACAGTACTAGGAGGGACCAGAGTCATAATGTCAAACCTCAAAAAAGATCAAAGTGTTCACCAAATTCATCCTTTACAGGATACATTAGACTTAGGCAGCATCGAGATTATGAAACACTGGGGTAGTAAAAAAAGGCTTTATATAATAATTCATAGAGCAAACATGTTTATGATATTTCACGCTCCCTTTTATGAACAGTGTCTCTATTATCAAGTTTCTTTTAAATTGCAACAAAAGAGGTGTTCTGTCTTGTCAAAAACGTCTTTCGTTTTGTCAGTAGCCACAATCGTGCTGTTGTTCTGAGGGATTCATGAAGTTGTATCAGAGACATACTGGACCGCACCATATCCACCTATATCTGAGGTTCGTACATACCCTTATCGTTTGGCACCCACATCCCTGGCTGAAGTCCCCAATATAGAAGTAGAAGCATTAAATGTTACCAAAGGATGTATGAACTTTTAATAAATGCCAGCAAAAACAAAACTGTGGCGTCGATGGTGCATGGAACAGGGTGGGCAATTTAGCATAATTTAGAAGACATGCTTCTATTGTAGACAATAGGTAAATAGTATAAGAGCTTCTTACCTTTTTATGGTAGCCGTGGTTGTATCCAGTCGTGTAAACCTTGGCTCTATGGCTTTCACAAATCCTGCTGCCACATCTTTTCAAGCAAAGCAGAAAATGTATCAATTGTTGGTCAAAGGATTTGTATCAAACACCTCAGAAACCCCCAGAAGCTTTGAAAAATTTCTGCCACTGCTCCCAGGATCGTTATGTTTGGATTAGAATAAAATCTAACAAAATCAATAAACCTCGCGCAAATTTCTATTACCTGGGGAAAGACATATTCCAATATGCAGCACCTTGCTTTTGGTGTTTACTTGCTGGGTAACTGCTCCAAAAAGAGATTCAGCTTCATTATGGAAATTATTATTATTATTATTATTGTTGTTATCAATGGAAACATTTACTTTCACAAAATGATATTGAGTGAACGTCTTTATATTCAAGCGGTCGAGAAACAGTATTTGCGCTTTACCTCTGAAATATTTCCACACTGATTTGGTTTTTTCTGTAGTAGAAGCCACCTTGGTCTACAAAAAACACATAGATTTTCTCTGTAGCTTTTGGTTAACTTGTCTGTAGCTTTGGGAAATTGGGGATTGGGAACTAGGGGTGGAGAATGGAGGTTGAAAAATTGGGAGTAGGGAGTTTGGGGTGAAGAAGAATGGGCGAGGAATTGGGGGTGAAGTAGTGTGAGTGTGGTAAGATTTGATGCTAGAGAGGTGACGCCAACTCAATAGATACGCCGAACAAAGCTGCGTCAAACTGTCTTACACAAGCAATACCAAAGTTAATCAGGCTAAATGTTCGACCTTGGCCAAGGTATAAGTGTACATTTATGGGCTCGGGGGTCTCACCAAAAGCGTGCTGATATGGGCCCTTGGTTTGAAAACAGGCGAAAAAAATAGCTTGACCTTTGGAGGTCAATTGTTATCGTTTTTGCAGAAAGAATGTTTAAACAGCCAAATGCTGTTTAGAGAGTTAATGTGTCGTAAGCTTTACCAGAAAGGTTGTTACCGGGTTATTTTAATAATAAAATGCACATGGATGACATCCACATTTATAAATGACCTTTAAGCATGCCATACAAAGCCAGCGTCCGCTTAATTCGATCTATTATGATTTCCTTCATTTACCGATCTAATAAAATAATTCAGTCCTTTCCCAGTTTTACAAATCAGTGTCTTTTTAAGGGTGAAGATTCACTGATTTCTGCAAAATCTCCGCTTGTATCAGTACAGTCGGCATGTTTTCATGTTAGATAATCTCTGCTACACAATTAATATCGTTTGGCGTACCTTCAATGTCATCCTCGTCATCTGCAACTGCGTCATACTGTCAAAAGAAAGATCATTTGATATGAAGGCTCAAATTGATTCCACGCTGTAATCTTGATTATGCAAAATTTATCAAAGTTTTGAAAATTTATCAGAATATTTAAAAAACATACAAGGAGTGGTGCGAATGTAGGGTAGGGATCATAATATGCCGAGTAATAAGCATAGAAATTATAAATAGAATATTTGAATCTCAATCATCCTTTCCTAGTTTCTGATCATAAATTTACCCAAGACTCTGTTTTTCCCTGTTTGACAACAATTTTATAATCTAACTGGAAATAATGGGGTGATCAGACATCTGTTATGCCAAAAGCATTAAATTATTTTCCTATATGATGTGAGATGGGTTTAAGAGCATAGTATTTCAGATTAATTATACAAAACAATAGGAGAGTGGTCAATTCATGTTTTCACCAGACAACGGCAAAATGTATATTTAATGCTTATATTTTTAATTAAAAGGGATCTTGATTTTTGCTATTTTTTCTGCTGATCAGCCTTATCTTTGCTCTTACAATCTGAATCTATCTCTTATCAAAAGCTGGAGTTTAAAGAAACTATTGGGAAGTACATGAAATATTGATATTTTAGTCATAAGCAAATCTATAACAGGCTTTGAAAAACGTTCTCGGCGCTCAGCTTTTTATGAAAGCTTTGAGAAAAATTAGATTTTTGCTTAACCATGTTATATTCGCCAAGTGTCGATCAAGAATTGGAATTCAGGTTATTGAATTGAATTGCAGAGGAAAATGGCTTCCTTAGATTTCCTTAGAAAAAGACACTGTCCTCTCGTCCAGTGTTGCAATTTGGCCGTTTTGAAAGCCAAATTCCTCCATTCTGGTCGCTTTTCAAAGCTGTTTGCCGTCGAAAATTGATTTGGCCAAAAAAGCAAAATATGGCTGAATTTTGGCCGCATGTTGGAAGCCACAAAAATTCAAAGAAAACACCAATTTTTGCACAGTTAATATTCAACATTTTGTTAAAATAATATCAAAATTGCAAATAAGCAAGAAACAAAGTAAAAGATAATGGAAAATTTAAATTGAAAGCAAATGGAAGCTTTTGTAACAACTAGACATGTGTTGCAATTAACGGCGCAATTAATGGAGAATCGAAATTTAAAAGGTTTATATTGAAATCGCCCATCATAAATATTTGTTTATTGATTTCTTTCGAAAGAGTACCTTTAAGATATTAAGTAAATTTCTCAATGTCAGAAACAGAATGTCCAAAATTGCAGCAGAATAGAAACATTTTCCAAGTTTAATATCTATTTCAACCCAAACTGCTCCAAAGTCATCGCAGTCCTAGCTTAGGTTATTGCATAATTTAAAATTCAGAGACTTCTTGACATACACTAAAGTCGTACACTAAATTCGAGCTTGCCGATTTAGTGTCATAATGATAGTTATATCCTTCAATGCTGACATTTGTTGAAATTTCATTTTGAGTTTGATTCCATGTCTCAGAAACTGAGCACATTAGAGTAAAAATTAGAGTAATAAGTTCGTTATGGTTCGAGAGACTCCTTCATATATTACAGAGCTCGAGAGACTCCAAATATATTACAGAAAGACTCCAAATAAATATAGTCCAGTTGCAGCTCGGGAGTGCTCACTCGACTCAAATAAATATAAGTAAACCTATGTTTTGCGTTATGCTGTCTTCCTACATAGTGTACTTAAAAATTCTTCGTACATAAAAGAGTTTAAAATTGCTTCGATTGCTTTTTTACGAACATCTGTACGGCTACAGATGATTAACATCAAATTATTCAAGATAAGTGTCCAGAAACACTCTCAAGAGACTGCCTCTGCGTGGGTAGAAAATCGTTTGGGTTGTTCTAGAAACGCTGTCAATTAGCATTGCTGTTCTTTTCACAAGCCTGCTACGTGTTTTGGTTTTTCTTATGATCCACCACATTTTGACATCAAGGAAAGGCATTGTGCAATAACGCTTTTTGGTTTTGTTCTGACTTTTTGTTACTTGGATACAATGTGTCATAATGACCAATTATGATGAAAGAACATTTAACAAGAATAATAATAATATTTCTTGATCATTCTTGCTTTCCGACAAAGAGATTTTCAAATAAAAATCATTTCAATGAAAAATCATATAACCTCATGTTCCTATTGTTTGAATATTCTTGTAAAAAAATAATAATGTGGTTTTTCATTACCTTGGAATATTCTTTCAGTTTTTACATGCAAGAATGATTATTTAAGGTGCTGCCTAGTAAGCAATGGAATCGGACAAGAAAACTGCAGCAGTCTGTGCAACAGATATCTTGACTGCAGGCACCGCGCAGCCATTGGGCTAGTTTACTCTAACGCATCTTTGCATAGTTTACTCCTATGAAGTAACAGTTCTCATTGACTGGAAACCATTCTTGTTTTTTTCTAGGTGTTTCATCTTGTTTAATGATATGATGTATTTTCTAACTTGGTTAGCTTGGTTTTTTATTACCCTCGAGCTAATTCTATCTATTTTTATAGTTATTGATATCTTCTCTGAACCAGACTGTTTATATAAATTCAATAGAGATAAGCAAGTATTTTCGAAGAAGGTCGTTTTCCGGCGTTGAAGAGGATGTGGCCTCAAATTTTTTCGGTCATACCCATTTCAGCCCCTCCACTTTGACTGTAGTTATGAGATCACTAACAGGTATAAGGGAATATGGGGGTTAGGAGAAATCGCAGGGGTGCTAGAAAATTACTCAACGAAAAATTCTGATCATTTAAAAACACAGTTAAACGTAATGATTCTGTTCAACTAAATACATGTTTCAATTAACGGGGCCTAAAAAAGAATAATTTATCGACGGAACGGGGGAGAAAAGAAATAAAAACAACCAATAATTTCAAGGGCGTGTTTCAGCGCATGCAAGGTGCCTCTGAAACACTGTAGAAAAATAAATCTAAGAAACTAGATCTTCATTCATAAAATAGGAGATAAAGAGAAATAAGGTTCCTAGTTTGATACATTGGAGGACCCAGAAAATGCCTTAAGATGGTCAAAACTTCAATCCAATTAAACCTTTAACACTGCTAGCGGCTCGCCATCTGTGTGTTCAATAAATTGCGAAATAATGAGAAAGTAAACAGATAAAATGTTTCCAACGGAAGTATAGTGCAGGATCAATTGCCTTATACCTTTGATTTTGCCTTATACCCACGAGTTTATAAATTTATGCCGGTTATGTTTTGGTCATACCAATCTTAGAGTGATGACGTAATTTGTTGATAAAATGCAAAGGAAAGAGACTAGGGGAGAGGGTGTTACCAGATTGCTAGCACAAATTTGGAGATTGGTTTGTTGTTGGTTGAGAAATTCGAAGGAAAATGCCGCGACTCGTTTCAAAAACGGGGCTGATTACCCTTGTTGCACAATTTCAATCCATCAGTGACTTTTGAGTCTCCCACATCCTTCAGATTTATTGTAAAAAAGAAATTCGGGCAGGTTACTTTAGTAGCAAATGAGTAGAATGACGCCCTCAAAAAAGTGAGAGCAATACATCTTCATTTCCAACAGATGATGAATAAAATATGAATAAGATGCTGGGGGCTATCTTACTGTTCCAGATGTAAATTTCATCATCATGCCTTTCTATCCCCTATTGATAAATTTTACTTTTGATTACCCTCCATCTCCCCCCCCCCTAAGGTCAAGCTACGCCACTGCCCTTGATATTGAGATTTCTTATAGCAAACGTGTTTGGTCTGAGACTGTAGCTAGTGGATATCAAGCTTCAGTTTTTGCAAAAAGTAGATCATATTATATTGCTTTTGGTTCGACAGATGTAGTCCTCTTGATTTTACTTTGAAAAAGGCACTGGTAGCTTATGCCCTTAGCAAGAGGTGCATTGTATTCTGACGACCCCACCTCTTCTTGGAAACAAACACTGAATAATTCCCTTACCAATTCAAGTGGCCTTTTTGCTCAGAAAAAGGGCCAACAGAGCCTGTTCGTTTACTTGATTTCGTTGGCTAAGCAACAATTCCCATATTCTATTGGCAGTGTTCCTGTAAGGAAAACTTTTACCAGATACAGGAAACATGCTTTTATGCTTTAGTTTAGGTCATCTGGTAGCGCTATGGACAGTGGCAGAAATTCAGGCTTTCATTTGGGGGACAAGATAACATTTTGGATCATTTCTAATTTTAAGGAAACTGCACATTTCGATGAAAATAGGTAATTTAGAAATTTTTGCTGAGCACGCCATAATTAAGTAGCAAGAAGGACGATCCAGTTCTGATTTTTTATATCAAAATCGATATCTCATCTAAGACGATTGATGATACAAGAGGTCGACCGATTACACTTTCGACAAGTAGTTCATGATAAAAACATGATTGTAATTGCGATGTTCATTTTATGGGTTTTATCCGTTTTTCATCAGTGGGAAATACGTTTGAGAATAACTTCATTTGGAGGAACCCGATGGAACTTTCGGCTAATCTTTACGAAAATGAAATTAAATATACAATTCACAAATAGTTTTGATTTTGTCAAATATTGTTTGTTTGATTATTTAGTACTGGCTAATATTTTATCAGCTATGTTCAAATGTTGCAAAGTGGCACAGAGAGATTATAAAGGGCCCTGGGGTAAAAAGTGAAAATGCAGCGAAAATTGGGCAACTACGCGCCCTTGATTAGCTTAAAATACTTTTCAGAACTATTTCTTGCAGTAATTTTGACACGTTGATTGTTGCCAATTATCCGAAGAAAAACCGAATTTTCCGACGTGATCGCTGGGTGGGTCGGGGGGAGAAGGGTGGCAGAGCTCCCCCATACCCCCATAATTTCCGCCATTGGCTATGGACAAGAAATCTATATATCTTAAATCAAGTTAAAAGTGGGCATCATCTTTCATGACGATTTATCGTTTATCAGAGTCTTCGGAACAAAATTCATCCAATGGATAAACAAGGCCCCCGCTTCCGACGGCCCTCTTTATCCATAGAAGCAAGTCCGCACTTGTGCTTGTAGGCTTTAACTCTAGGCAAGTGACGAGAAAGTCACGTGCTAATAACTGGATTTTTACTTCCTACCCGTTTGAAACCTTTCACGGAAACAAAAGCGGAAGCATTCTGTCGATTTCCCCTTTCAGATTTTTCTGTAAAAACACTAAGCCAACAATGCTTTTGAATACAAAGCTACAGTAAATGAGCTTACACTGTTACTCTTTTTTATAAGAACAGTTTTATAAAAATACTAGTCTCAAAATTGGCTAAGTCTAGAGGAAATTAACTGTAATTTTGAATAATGTTGTCAAACTTCCATAAAACATCTTTAAAAATGAAGAGATTTTTGTCATCTATGAGTTACTTAATCGATGAAATTTTAAACTTGTCGGCAAATAAAGGATACCTCATTCACTTTGGCAAACGAGACCAGCACCACCCCCCCCCCCCCTCCAAAGCACACTAGCTAGCAGTTTTACCTTTTACACCCTAGTATTCAAAACCAAAGCAAGAACAATCCAGCTTCAAATTGTCAAAAAAATTAAGAACAGCCAACCTGAACTTCACTTTAGTGGTTCGTACCATGATTTAGAATAGTCCATCAGCTTATTTCAGTCCAATACAGCTTATCAAAAGCTAAAAATTTTTTTCATTTGGCTATTTTCATGTCCTTTCTATTCTTTTGGCAGGTGTCCTAAGTAATATCCTTCAATTTGCTAGGCTATTCATGGCTTCTCACGCTGTCAGCCATATAGGCCTAATGCAGACACCAGAATAACTGTCGAATGAATCTCTGGTGAAATGGTTTAGTCTCTTTAAGAGCTACTTATACAATGTTCTAGTTTCTTCAGCGTGACAATATTTTCTTAACATTTTCAACCTAATTTTTGTCATAGGTTTGTCATACAGAGAAAGTTGTATGCAAATACAGAAAATTTATGAAACTATTCAAGCTCATTGCATTACAGAACAATTGGCAAGGACACTCAAGCTAGAAAGGAATCAACCAACCAACCTTGGCAGCACACCTCCCACTGAGGATACAAGTTTCCTTGATTCCTGGATGACCGAAAGCATCAGCCGTAGTCAATGCCGCAGTGACAAAAGAGCATGCCAGAAGAAATAAAGAAAAAATGTGCGTCATTCTGCATCAGCTAACAGCCTTTCCAAATAACCAAGAAAAGAGACTGAGGAATTAACAGTGTTGCAAGAAGAATTAAAGATGTACGTTTCGCAATTGTTTCCTTGTTTCTTTATCCTAGAATGTAAAAGACGGGGGTATGACTGCAGTGTCAAGGTTCGTGTGAGTCAGAATTGCCCAGCCCCATTAGTTATTCAAAATTTTGCTCTAGAAAAGGGTTTTCTTCAAGAAATAGGGCTTAATTGAATTTTAAGAATAAAGCTTAACGAGAAAGAGATCCAAAACAGGAAGAACCACGATGCCACATCCAATTTCCAATTTTCAGGCCTAAAATAATTTTTAATTTATTATATATCAAATAGTACAAATGTCTACTTTAGATTGAATATTTGTGCAATATTTAAAATATGTTTCATCTTTGCAGATAAAATTGTTTACTCATGCATGCGATAGAAAAAAATAAATTTCGTGAGATATTTATGGATGTATGAAGTAACTGCCCCAGCCACCCGTTCCTGAGTCTTAGCGAATGACATCACTAGGAAGATCAAATCATCCTCGATGACCCCTTTAATGCCCATTAGCAACTAATTACAAGATGTAACAATATTCTGTTTCCACGCTACCGTTATGGCTTGGTGAAGGAAGTTCTAAGCTGCTTGAAAGATTAATTGTCGATTAACGATACCCAAAGCACATGGCTTATTAAAATATGTAAATTACACAATGTATGAAGATAGACCAGATGGTACAGTTTGCCTTTGATTGCTTTTCCATTTACGTCTTCATTTACGTTAACTGAAACATTAAATGTCACCTGTTATAGTTTGTAGGCTGAAGTCCAAGGCAAAATACGCAAGTTATTGTAAAATAGCATTGTTTCTGTTGAGCCTCGGTGTTCTTGAAATTCTTAACTTTGAGCTTTAATAGATTCCCTTATCAAAAGGAAAAGTGGTCGGAAATTCGAGACTTTTTGCATGGTGGTAGGGAAACATTAAAAACTATAGATTACCTAAGTTTAAAAATTTTAGGAAAACTAAGATAGAATAGATTCACCCTGTCTTGCATTTATTTTCTATTTCTGAAATTTCTGCCTTTTTGCACCCCAGTATCCTTTTAAAATACATTCTCTCAAAACCTGTATGTACCTAACAATCTTTGATTCCCCCCATCTTACAAATTAACAGTTTTTTTAAGCTTTTTCTTCAGTCTACCATATTGTAATTTTGGATGTTTTGATTCGCAAATTCTAATCGCAATCTTGTCGTAATTTCGAACTTCGAACTCGCTTTGACTTTGTTCAAGATCAGCTGAATGTACATCGCCAGCCGCATTGACTGTTGCTCTCTTTATCGAGACAATGGCAGCTCTTAAAGATATTGTTCCTTTCTTGTTTGAAGTTTTAGATTAAACACGTTTATTTATAGGAAGGTAGTACTTGTCTAATCAAAAACTTCAGGAATTTTTAGTATTGGATGGTAGACTTCGAAGGAATATGAAAATTAAATCATTGAATTCACACGTTCGCAGCCACTATTGGCAATGGAAACGACACGGGTTTATCACTTTTTAGCTAAATAATGATATTCGGGTTGTGGTATCAAAGATAATGGTGGAAAAACTACTATGAAAATTTACCAATTCCTCTATAGCCGCCATGGCGTCCTTCATATTGCAGCTATAGCAAAGACAAATACCTCTGAAACTACTTCATGTTATCCGACGTACATTCAATATTTCGATTCAAAATATGAAGTTTCGTTAGGTTGCTCCTGTACATTTAAAAACAGTGCAAGCTATAACTATCGTCCAGTTTTTTCAATTTCTTAGCCTACCTGTCTTCTGGCATCTTTATGACCAACTTCATTATAGAAAATGCGTGTACAAGGCCGCTGGAGAAAAGAACATTTTAAAGCGAGGGGGCTCTAGAAAAGTGCGGGGGACTCCTTACGTAGTTTGACACCATTATCTTTGATGCCGCAACCAAATATCATATATTAGCGAAAAAGAGGAGGGGGGCGTAAATATCAGGCTAAAAACAGAAGGCCGCCAAACAATAAATGGGAAGAGCCTCTCAGCCTAATTTCACCCAAAACAAGTGCCAGACGTCGCGCGAGATGGACGCGCGCGGCCCTTAAAAGTGGTGTATTGACATAACTGAATATACATAGCGTTTATAATTAATTATGTTTTCAGTGAATAATGGATTCACAGATAATAATTCCTGTTTTAGTTCATACTATCTTTGACATTAGAAACCGCCTTGATTCAGAAAGGGAAATATTAAATTTGATTGCTCTGATAATGGAGATCCGTGCTAAAATGAATGGCTGTCGGGGCTATTTCTTTCACTTCCTTGTGATGAAATGTTTGCAAAAATTCAGAAGCCAGAGTGACCTTTAATACCCTGGGTACCAGACTCACTATAGTCTGGTACCCAGGGTAGACCTTCAAGTGCTGTCGCTAGCGGGGGGTAGGGGGCGGGCGTGGGTGCGGCACCCCCTAGAAAATTCTTGTCAACAAGTTTTCAAAAAGTATAGTTTTGTCTGGTTTTGCATTCAAAGTTCCCAAAGCAATAGCTTTAGCAAACAGCGAGGATAAGATCGAAAAAGTATCACCCAAAGGCCCTCAGCAATTAAGAATAGGTACAGATTGCGGTATGGGTGTCACGGAGGGGCAAATGTCTCCAAAAATTTCAAATGACCCCCTGTCGGCAGCCTGATTCTAGAACCTAGCAGACAATCGTCGGCATATCCAGGAACATCAAATTTCCACCTAAAATTTGGGGTTTGGGGAAGAGTAAAAGTTTATTGAAAAACTCTGAACGTTGATCCTGGGGGTACTGGAAGCCCCTGTGAGCAGGGCCAACGAGGGGAGGGAAAAGGAGGGAGTGCCTGAGGGTCTTGAGGTGTAGGGGGCCTCATAAAGTAATGAATTCCATTTTAAGAATGAAATCAATGGAACGTAGCAAAAGCATGCCTAATAATATAGCAAAACTTTCTAAACGATTGAAAGAAATGAGGGTAAGAATAATTTTAAAACGCATTTTAAGATAATCTTCATGGCGTGGTCGCAAAAAACTTCTGCTCGCTCCACTCGCAGGGGGGCCTCGTCTTTTGTTTTTGCCCGAAGCCCGCCAAAAACACTCGGCGGTTATGCCTGTAAGATCTGCTCATACAAGCTAAGGTTCTATTTTAACGTGCTGAGCTATTTGAATAAATTCATTTCATTGCTCAAAACTTGACTTCTAGAGTAAAATCAAAGAAAGTACCCTCAGGTACTTAAGTAAAGAAAATTACAGCGCGAAAATTGAAGCGACGATTTACGGACGAGAAAAAATGGCCTGTTTACATGGAAAAAATTTACGGCTGGAAGGTGGGATGAAGCTGGAAGATTGGATAAAAGGTTCATATAAACGCGATCAAATTTTGTCCAACCTGTCAGCAAGCACCCTGGAAGGCGGGATGGTTTTCTACATATACGACTAGAAGGTGGGATGAAGCTGGAAGATGGGATTAAATGTTCATATAAACGCGATCAAATTTTGTCCCACTTGTCAGCATACAGGCAGGAAGGCGGGATGGTTTTCTACATATACGGCTAGAAGGTGGAATGAAGCTGGAAGATGGGATTAAATGTTCATATAAACGCGATCAAATTTTGTCCCACTTGTCAGCACACAGGCAGGAAGGCGGGATGGTTTTCTACATATACGGCCAGAAGGTGGGATGAAGCTGGAAGATGGGATTAAATGTTGATATAAACGCGATCAAATTTTGTCCCACTTGTCAGCATACAGGCAGGAAGGCGGGATGGTTTTCTACATATACGGCCAGAAGGTGGGATGAAGCTGGAAGATGGGATTAAATGTTCATATAAACGCGATCAAATTTTGTCCCACTTGTCAGCATACAGGCAGGAAGGCGGGATGGTTTTCTACATATACGGCTAGAAGGTGGAATGAAGCTGGAAGATGGGATTAAATGTTCATATAAACGCGATCAAATTTTGTCCCACTTGTCAGCACACAGGCTGGAAGGCGGGATGGTTTCCTAAATATACGGCCAGAAGGTGGGATGAAGCTGAAAGATGGGATTAAATGTTCATATAAACGCGATCAAATTTTGTTCCACTTGTCAGCATACAGGCTGGAAGGCGGGATGGTTTACTACATATACGGCTAGAAGGTGGGATGAAGCTGGAAGATGGGATTAAATGTTCATATAAACGCGATCAAATTTTGTCCCACTTGCCAGCATACAGGCAGGAAGGCGGGATGGTTTTCTACATATACGGCTAGAAGGTGGAATGAAGCTGGAAGATGGGATTAAATGTTCATATAAACGCGATCAAATTTTGTCCCACTTGTCAGCACACAGGCTGGAAGGCGGGATGGTTTCCTACATATACGGCCAGAAGGTGGGATGAAGCTGAAAGATGGGATTAAATGTTGATATAAACGCGATCAAATTTTGTCCCACTTGTCAGCACACAGGCTGGAAGGCGGGATGGTTTTCTACATATACGGCCAGAAGGTGGGATGAAGCTGGAAGATTTGATAAAATGTTCATATAAACGCGGTCAAATTTCGTTTTTTTTGTCAGCACACATGCTGGAAGGTAGGATGATTTTCTCCATATACAGCTGGAAGGTAGGATAGAATTTGCATGTAAACAGCCGATTATTTCATCCCACCTGCCAGATTATGGGCTGAGAGGTGGGATAAATTTGTTCATGGGAGGACCTAAGAGGGATTTTTAGAGTGGATGAAGAAAATTACTTCAATAGGTTTTCAAAGAATTATGAAAATAAACTCATTGACAAAAAGCTGGAAGGGTAGTGCAACTACACGATGAATTGGGTACTTACACTCTTTTTAAAAATATTTTATCTTCAACTCGTCAAATGTTGAGCTTACTTAATGTGATTGATTAAACGATGATTCAGAACTGCAGTTTCAATGCCCCTATAACAAATTATTGACAGTTTTAGGGCTAATTTATAATCATATGTCAC